CACCGTTGTATCTTAAGTTGTTCGTAGATACAGGACAATTTGGCTCCAACGGTCCCGCCGGAGCGATGTACTAGAAGTTTCCAGAAGTCCTGCAAAATTGGCTTGGCTATAGTGAGTACTGGAGAGATGAAGACTAAGGTACCGTAGAGATGGGCCACTGTAGAAAGACCGTTTAGTGCATGTGCAAATTTTATTTTAAAACCGTAATAGTCTATGTGAGGATGCCAATATAAACCTAATGTCTATATAGGATCCTCGTTAACGAACTCCAAAAGTGCTTTCTTGCATATATGAGAAACTGGAATTGTTGTTTGCAGACCATTTCCTTAGTTACATTCCTGCTGAGCGAAGAGCTGCGACCAGTTGATCTCGGATGATATTTGTCGCAAGTGGGTAACTTTGCGCTCTTGAACGAGTTGTAGCATGACACTGATTGCTGTGTACAGGGGTTGATGCTGTCCCAAATGTGACGGTTTTTAGAAAATATTCCGATATCTGGGTTTGACCATTCCGCCACAGAATACGTTGGTATTGCGCATCCTCTGGATGTATATCGATGCACTTGTACATTCACTCTATGTCTGCACCAAAAACGAAACAATGAATGCGCCAGTTTAGCACGACTCCTGCGAGATCATTTTGTTGGGCTGGTCCGGTGCCAATGACTTCATTGAGTGCTTTTCAATTGCAAGTTTCACATGAAGCGTTTTAAACGCTTTCCTCCTTGAATATGCCGACAGTGAATTCCGCTTTCCGATTGCATTGAACATAACTGCTCCTCTGATGTATTCGTTGGCGTAATTTGGCCGAGTTCGAAATATTCATCAACAACTTCCTTGTAACGTTGGTGAAACTCTGGTTTTCGCTGAAATTTTCGGTCGAACGATGACTTTAGGCAAATCACTCCGCAACCGCTTTCTGATTTGACTAAAGTCATCGAAGGCTCAAACAATCGTTTTAATGGCTGTGGCACCACATGTTTTTTCAGTTAGTTTGCCGGGTGTTTGTGCGTTGAAATTAATTCTGACACCACCACTGTTCTTCTGGGGTAAGTTGCTTAGTGTCGTTTATTTGCTCGGCGTCGAAGAAATTTTGGACAAGGTTCTCCAAGCAAGTATGGTGAGATTTGATATGGCCAGTGACGTGGGTAACTCGGCCAAAAACGTTCCAGCCGAGGTGAGTTCGTTGTGCGATGGGTTGATCCTTTAAACTCTTTCCGGAAGAATCAGTTGTGGGATCACATCTACTTCTAGTAGAAGATCAATTCTGTGAAATTGCACATAGCTACGGTCTGCCAGTTCCAGATCCTGTAAATGTTAACAAGTAAAGTAAGTGTCTGTTTAGGTAAATGAGTGGTAAGAGAATTGAAAGTAAGTGCCGTATAAATGTTTATATAAAACTTTGGCTTCGTACACGAACTGATTGTGAACTTTGCGGCATGCTTCGATCTGTTTGCTTATCGGAGGATCGATTCCGGCAATTGTAGCAGCTGCGGGATAACGTTTCAGTCCGAGTGCCTGCACGACGCGTTTGGTAATAAACGTGCTAGTCCACTAATGCTCGGATGATAGTTGATTGACCAGTGGCTTCGTTGTGTAATCTGACAAGTGCAGTAGCGAGAAGAATAGTTGGTGACGATTGGGATGAGGCGTTTGTGGCTGCGAATTGAGTCGTGTGTGTCATTACATACCATTCATACCATTACCTTGGATAACAACGGCAGGTCATACAAAGAGTTTATGTGATACCACTAACCATACAACATATAGACTGGTCATTTCATACAACGAAATTGGTCACAAAATTTTTCAATCGGGAGGCCCCAGTGCTGGTAGCAGCAGGCCCCGGACACTTCGTGTGCCTTCGGGTTTTTTTCGCTCTCGTTCTAATTCTTATTTTGACGCTCGCGCTCGAGTTCGGTCGTTCAGTCGCAGAGACGCTCATTTTGAAGAAGGTTGACCTGCGCTTGAATTGGGCTTTGTATGTATGAGTGTTCATGCATTCTCATACAATGGCGCATGTGTGCGATCATTTCATTTTGATGCAGCAAGAATATTTTGTCTTTTGCTAGTTTTCAGACTTGGTACCCTAACAATATGGGCGTATTCACTATTGGGTTAATGATAAAAATAAGAATATTATATGTTACAGTATATTTTTTAATATTTCAGCATAAATTTCATTTTGGTTTGCAAATTCATATCAGTAGTAGCTGTAAAATGTTTTGCATATATATATGTATTCCAATTAATAGAAATCAATCTACTGAGATACGAACTGTTCTGCGAGCGGTTTAAAAAAAGTTTAAAAACTACTATTTAACACAGGTGTACATATATGTATGTATATTTATCGGTAACTAATTCGAGCGGCGACTTATAAGAACAAACATACATAAAAATAAAGGTAGATCATTAAATAACATTAATTAAATAACTGCGAACCTTAAAAAAATAAATCAACCAAAGGTCATTAAACATAACATTCAAAACAAGTGTCCTAAAAAATGTAAACAAAACAAAAGCCAAACAGCCGTTCTTGTTTCTGTCCCCACCCCTAAAATTCAATCGTCGGTAGGGTATGCAGGCACCATCGGCTCGCAGAACAACAACCAAAGCTGATTTGGTTTGAAGTTTTCTGCACCACTTAAAAGCACTCGGTGTTTTTTGTGACACCAACTGCGATATGCCCTGTTCGTATCTCAGTAGATTGATTTCTATTAAATGGAATACATACATATATGAAAAACATTTTACTGCTACCACTGATATGAATTTGTAAACCAATATTAAATTTATGCTAAAATATTTAAAAATATACTATAACATATAATATTCTTATTTTTATCATTAACCCAATAGTGAATTCGCTCATATTGTTAGGGTACCAAGTCTGAAAAGTAGCAAAAGACAAAATATTCTTGCAGCATCGAAATGAAATGATCGCACACATGCACCCCTGTATGAGAATGCATGAACACTCATACATACAAAGCCCAATTCAAGCGCAGGTCAACCTTCTTCAAAATGAGCGTATCTGCGACTGAACGACCGAACTCGAGCGCGAGCGTCAAAATAAGAATTAGAACGAGAGCGAAAAAAACCCGAAGGCACACGAAGTGTCCGGGGCCTGCTGCTACCAGCACTGGGGCCTCCCGATTGAAAAATTTTGTGACCAATTTCGTTGTATGAAATGACCAGTCTATATGTTGTATGGTTAGTGGTGATACATAAACAGTAGTCGCGGGCAGTTATAACTTTGGACAATAAGGCCCCGGCTGTCTTGTAGTTCCCTCCAATAAGTGTCATCTGCTGAACGTCTTCGTCATGGCTGGACGGAATAGCTCGCTTGAGAAAGTGGAACTTCTGGATGTCCGACAGGGCCGTGTTATGCTGGCCAGTACACAAAATTTTCGCTATACGTTGGTCCAGGCAGCTTGGGTAACAGCACGGGCGACATTGTAGCTAGCGTTGCGATCTGGGAGTTTTTGTTGCTTGGAGAATGTTCTGAAAAGCTTGAACCTATTTTGGGAAATTTCTGTTCGAATGCTTCGGATATGGTACACGCGGTAGTGTAATTTTCGTCGAATTGAAACGCTGTATTTTGCCAAACATATGGGTGCTTGCCGTGGCATTTAAGTCTTACAAGCTGTTGGTGATTTTCATTGAATTCCTCGTTCAAAGTTTCCAACTGCCGTAAGCGTAGCTGAAAATATGATGTTGTCTTTCGGTCTGCGCCATCTTTGCTGAAGTTTCGACTCAGGTTTTGTAGACGTAAAAATGTATCTTGCTGCACGGCAACTAGCGCTGGTAAGGATCGCAAAACCATCACGCACCTCTTCCAGCAAAGAAAGCTGAATGGAAAACCGCTGTGTATAGTTTCCAGCGATCGAGAGATAAAATATTCCAATCAGCGTGGTCCTCTTTATGGTCGTCGTTCTGCACTCGGTTTTGTGCAACTTCCAGTGGGGGAGCCACCGTTCCGGGTTAGAGTAGTCCTCTTTGTGGTCGTCGTTATGATCACTAGAAGCGCAGAGCGGCTGGTGTTTAGTAAGGATGCCTTAGCCTCGCGAAAAATTTAGGATGATATGAGCGTATTATTATTATACCGTATGATTTAGTCATAGATGAGCATATACTGCTCAGGGTTTATGTTTTGCGGAGTAATAAGATGCGATATGGGGGATAATTTTAATACGCTGTGCTTAACATTATTTTGTTAATCAAATAATTTTCGTGTGCGCGGCTTAAATAAGAAAAATCGGATGAAAACGCGTCCAGCTCTCGACGAACTTCAAAATGGAATAATTACAATTAGTGAGAGGGAGAGTGCGTGAGAGAGACTGCAGTCGAATTATATCCGTTCGTCGCGAGCTTTTCGGTGCAACCAACAAAACTCAACCAGACGTTTAAAGTAATGCCACGTGGTTGAGATGTAGCTACATTTAGGTTTTTCACATTTCTTATTTTTGAATATACAGATCATGGGTCGGATTGTTATGTTGATGCTTCATCATGCTTATTATCCGTTGTAGCACCACCGTTGACTGGGTGATCGTTATGTTCGTGTATTTTTCTCAAAATTACTTATTGCGCACTATCTCACTTCTGAGAATGTCACACACATTCCAATACAAATACTTAAGTGGTGATCTGTCAGAAATAGGGAGAAAAGGTAGTGCGGCTTACGGTAAATAATAACATTAAATCGTTAGATTAATAAATCGATAGATTAATATATCGTTTTATTACTATGAACTTGAAATGTTTCTCTTACAAAATATAAATATAGTCGCGCTGTTAAAGTAGATCGTCGTACTTTGCGATATTCGTTTTTCGCTCTCTGACGTTACTCGCGTCGTTGTCGTTCCACACCACTAGTGCTGGAAAACAATCGATAGGACTATCGATGTTTCTTAAATTTTCTAAGCATCGATGGTTCTTTAGCAAGTATCGATTGTTTTTATGGCATATGTGCATTGAGGACTAGAGCTGCAAAAAAATCGATAGTAGCACCATCGATAGTTTTGAATTTTTGCGGAGTAAACATCGATACTATCGCGATAATATCGCCCAGATGTAAACATTAGGGGTATTCATGTAAAACCAATATAATAGGGGCATTCCTTTAGGCAATTATTTATTAAAAATAGTGTAATTAGGAAAATTTTAATTTTCAATTATTTACAATTAAAAACACAATTAGTTTAATTTGTTTAAATTTAAGTGAGACCTTTTCTTTAATAGCTTTGGTAGGATTAATTCTAATACTTTTCCTTTGTAAGGAACCAGTTTTTGTTTATAAACAAAAGAATATTAACAGTCTTTGGTTTTAACGATGCCCGTCGATCGGATATAGTAAGGCCCGCCTTGGAAAACATTCGTTCAGATTCCGTGGAAGTTGCGGGAATGCACAGTCCCTGCTTTGCGCTTATAGCCAGTTGGGGCATCTCTTGTTCATGTTGCTGCAGTTAAAAAAAAAAAAATAATAATAGAAAGAATAGAAAGAATTAACTTACCTTCCAATATTCTAAAGGATCATGAGTTTCTTCTAAGTTCATGCGTTCGAAATACTGCCTTAGCTGTATGATTGACTCAACTTTATTAGATCTTTGCTTCAAATCAATATTTTGTTTCACAAAATGAAGTAGCGACGTTTTTTGTTTTGGTGGTTCCGGAGTGAAAGTGGGTTCCTTATTGGCTTGAGGGAGAGATGAAATTGTTTTCTCGAGGAGAGAAACGGCTTGCTTGCATTAAAATGAGACCGGAAACCCTCTTTTTTAAATCGAGGGTCCAAAATTTTAGCCAAGCGTGTGAAGGACCGTTCTTCATAAGGAAATAGTCGTTTTTTACACTTCTCTATTAAAAGGTGGCACAGTGTTTTCCCTTCTGCTGTCCTTAACTGGTCGCATTTTTCATTTAGACTTTGGACAAGTCCATTTGAAATGGGAATTACACTGGACACAGTCACTTTTGTGCTCGAAGACAATTGCTTCGTTACTTCATCAAACGGAGCCAGCAGGTCTTTCAAATCCTCCAATAAAGTAACATCGTCTGCTGCCAGCGGCTCCGGCGCCTTGGACAAGCTAAGCAGCATTGGTGAAATAAACTCTTTGGTTAAGAGTATGCGCTCGACCATTTGGAAAGCGCTGTTCCAGCGTGTGCATACCTCCTGTTTCAGGCTGTATGGCTTGCCGAGACCTTGAGCTATTTTGAATTTTTCATAGGCAATTGTGCTGCTTTTAAAAAAGGTCACTATTCGCTTGCATTTAGCTAACACTGTATGAATCTCTTTTATAGCAAGGCAGTCTTGTATAACCAGGTTAAGGACATGAGCATAGCACGGAAGATGTCTTTTCTCAAGAAGTTCACATGCCTTCACCATGTTGCTAGCATAGTTACGGATAAAACTATTGCGCAAACTTTTGGCAACAGATTCCATTTTATCAGTTCTGCGCGCAATGATGATGCGATATTGTCAGCAGAATGATTTGTTGCACATAGGAGTGGCTGTGTTGCCAATACTGCCGAATTTAGCTGGAAGTTTCCGTCAATGAAGTGAACAGTTATGGTCAAATGACCAGTGTTGGCTTTGCTTGTCCAGCAGTCCGTTGTAATCGCACACTGATCGACTTTGTCAAGCATCAACTGTAGTTTTTCACTGAGCTCTATGTACATGTTTTTCATTTTCACGTCCTGTAGCGTTGTGCGTGACGGCAATTTGTAGCGCGGATCTAACAGCTTGACAAACTTCCTAAACCCTTCGTCCTCCACAATAGAAAAAGGTTGTATGTCCTTAGCAATCATGCCCATCAACGCCATATCAAGACTTGCTTTTCGGACCGAATTGCTGTCGTACTCATCGTTAGTAAACAATGTCTTTATTGTCGGTTGTGTGGCCTTGTACTGGCTGTGAGTTGGGTGGAATCTCCTTAAATGGTCAGCAAGGTTGCTAGTGTTTCCGCTAGTTTTGTAAACTTTTTTACAAATTCGGCATTTTGCTTGTCTACCATCTTTTGTTTTCTCAAAGAGATCCCACACCGAACTTGCCAGTCGGCTCAACTTTTTCAAAGATTTCTCTTGCGCCTTGCCCACTTCTTCAATACCTTTCGATGCTGTCTGCTCCACATCCTTGTCTCCATCTTTTGTGAAAAAAAAATATTTGTGAATTTAATCTCTTAATATCTTTTCCATCCACTTACTTTTTCCCTCGCCATCCATTTTTAAGGAACCACCGAAACCACCAAAATTTGAATATTGCTGTCGAAAACAAAAAAAAAATTAGTAAATATTTAATTTTTCGCATCCAAACGTGTTTACCTTCTTAATTCTTCGAAATCCAAGTGATGAAAATTTTTTGTAATACTATCGTGATAGTCTGAAAAATATCGGAGACGGTCACCGGCGGCCAGCCATCGATATTATCGATAGTACCATCGATTTTTTTGCAGCTCTATTGAGGACAACGTGTAGGTAAAATTGGTTTTGTGTCGCATTATTTTAATTTTATTAAATGTTTAATGACATGTAGTGAAATATACTCTCGACTATTGGAAGGTAATATTGAATGCAATATAATTGTACAAGTTAACTGTGGTCACCCAAACTGAGTCTTTAACCACAGTTAAGTCAACAATATCGCTCCTGCCAAATTGCTGATCTAGCGACTGGCCGGAAGCTCGTGTACAGACGGCAAACACAGCATGTTTTCGTGGCCGCTGTGAGCTTCTGTTAGCTATAAGCCAAATCCTTATATTCAGTCTTGTTTTAAATTTACTTAAATAAAGAGCTATTGCTCATAAACATTAATCCGGCCATCGCCGTTCTTATATTTTCAAAACGCTTACTGAGCTGAACGCCAGGGGCATAGGAGGGCAGTTACCCTCTCACCGTAAACCTTAATTGGCAACACACAGATACTCTACAGTATCAATCTTCCCGAAGCTAAGTGGACCAGCAAGCGGCACCCTCATTCAGGGCGGCAACCATTTTCAGTCTTCCCCAAAACTACGTGGCCCAGCAAGTGGCACCTTCTCACCCAACAGCATCAACGAGAAGACGGCAGCCACCCGGCGACGAATATTAAATCAATTGGCGCTCAACTAGTGGTAATTCGTTTCCCTACTGGATAAAACTAAATCAACTTGGAAGTTGAAAAGTGACGGCGGCGCGAGAAAAGTGCAGCCGTAAAACATTTTTCTACACACAATTTACAAAACATGTATGTTGGCCCTTCGTCAAAATCTTTTAAGTCTTCGAACAAAAATGTATATAATTTCGGATCAGGGTAAAATCGCAGGAAAACAAGCATTAAATTCTATCCCTGTCACAAGTGAAGTGAATTTTTCAAAGAATCTCATATTTGATTTAACAGCCACAATTTAGTTATTTTTTTTTTGTATCCGGTGGAGGAAATTTACCCCATAAAATATAAAAAATAAATATATATTGTTATTATAATATATTGCACATAATTATCCCTGCGAAAAGGTATTAACAAAAATAATACATTTATGAGTTATACAAATTATACCCCTTTTTTTTATTAACGGCGCATTGATATTTTGCCTGATTTTTTTCACTGTGTACTCAAATTATTTTTGTATCCAGAGGCGCATACATTCCGTTCGCCGGGCGTTTCAGTGATCTGCAGACATTGTTATTGTTTTTTTCGCCCCGCTTATTGCAAGGAAATACGAGCCCCAAAGACTTTCGACTTCGTCTTTGTGTCTCTGTTTGTGTAACGCTTTTGCTTATGCGCACAGGTTTCTGTGCGGTTAAATTCGTCTGCCCATGAGTTCTCCGTTTCTCCGATATAGGAGCAGTAAACAATAATTTCGACGCGATTGTAAATAGCTTGGACTTCAGATACAGTGACAAGCGACCGATGCATGTCATCGAGCAAGAGTTAGGCACTCTAAGACAGGGTGACCTAACTTTGTTACAGTACTACCTTATTGACGACCAAGGTCAATATGTCAAATGAAGCGGCTATGGCTAATGTATTGTGCGATAAATTCCGTGAAGACGCTTTGGGGGTATTTGTCTCCGGGCTAAAGCTTAGCCTCACGGATGTGCTTTTCTTGGCAAAACCTAAAGACATCAGTTCTCGCCTTGGCACAAGAAGTCGTGTTAAACCATGAAAGGCATATCTTCGCAAACACGTTTGCAAGAAATCAAGAGGATAAGGATCGTAAAGCGACTCAAAAGGCGCCAGAGCGTCAGCAAGACAAGGTCCCCTCTCAATAAAATCAACAATTTGGTGCCGGTAAGAACCAACATTTTAGTAGGGAACTTTTTGTGCAAACCCATTCTGAACCGCGTAACAGTAGGCCCACACAGGAACACATGGATGTTAACCCATCCTTCTCAAAAATGTTACAACATCCCCCAGCCCCAAAATACCAGAATAGGAGACATGCCACGTCTGAACGGACAAATATCCAAAAAAAAACAAAGGGTTAATCATGTCACTCAGAGCGGCAGGCAGGCAAAAAAAATAACGCTAGCATAGTCTCCAGTGCAGCGGCAAAAATCGTTGATGATGCCATTGAAAAATACGCATATGGCATATCCCTTCTACCCGTCCTCAGACGAAGAGTAGCGGGGAATGTTTTGAGATTCCTTATAGACACGGGCGATTCCAAAAACTTTATTACACCTTACAAGGAGCTTAAGGGAGTCCGTCCAGTGGAAGTCCCTTTTAACATTCATTCGATCCATGGCACAACCAAAATAACACAGAAATGCCTTGTTCTGTGCCATTCTTTGTTCTATCGGACTTATCAATGTTCGATGCGATAATCTGCCTCGACCTGTTAAAACAGGCTGGGGCATCGCTTTGCTTAAAATCTGGCAGTCTTAAATGGGCACGGAGGTCGAAGAAATTTCCCTCCCTGCGCTGATGTCCATTTTACTAACGTAGATTGTTCTAATGCACCCACTTTAATTAAAGGCGCCTTAATGAAAATGCTTAAAAGCAGAAAGTAGGCCTTTACGGAACCCAAATGAGGCTCTACCGTATAATACCTCGGTAATAGCCACAAGAAGAACAGAAAATGAAGAGCCCATTTATGCCAAACTGTACCCATACCCCATAAGGGCGTCCGATTTTGTTAACAAAGAAATTCAAAATATCCATATATATGAAAAGATGAAATGGTTTGTTACTCATTTCATCTTCCCCTTCTTGTACATGCGCAACTAATCGACTTTCGCAAACTCAATGAAAAAACGGTGTTTGATAAGTACCCCATGCCAAATATCTCAGGCCAGGTTATCATCAAACTATGTTTGCGGAACGCGATCGTGAAAAAACTTCTATTTCGGTAAACGGGGGAAAGTATGAATTTCGAAGACTCCCTTTTGGTCTGAAAAATGCAGCCAGCATATTTCAGAAGTCTATTGACAACATTTCACGGGAACAAATCGGCAAATTTTGCTACGTTGTGAAGTGATTATTTTTTCGGAAAAGGGAGGGAGTTATTAGCCATCATATGGGCTCTAGTCAAACTACGGAACTATTTATACGTGGTGAAACCAATAAACATCTTTACTGATCACCAGCCTCTGAATTTTGCGGTGTCGGAATCGTAAATTAAGAGATGGAAATCGCGCATTGACGAGTCCGGGGGGGGCGAATTTTCTACAAGCCCGGAAAGAAAATATTTTTGCTGATGCACTCTGACGGCAACAACCTAATGTCATGGGGGACCAGGAAGCTGAATCGTGCGCAGCCACTATACACAGCGAACTCTCCCTGACCCACACAATCGAAACAACGGATAAGCCCTTAAATTGCTTCCAGAATCAGATAACTCTGGAGGAGGCAAGCTTTCCGTTAAAACGTAGCTTCGTCTCTTTGGAAACAAGAGACGGCATGTGACTAACTTCTCCTGCAAAGAGTTATTACTTTATGAGCTCGCAGACATAATCGTTCCTAAGGGCGTAAACGCCAACCATTGTGATTTTTACACGCTGGCAAAGGTACAGGACGAACTTGTTCGGCAATTTCCAGCCACGACATTTTGGCACTGTAAAAATCGTGTGACATATATTTTTGCAGTCGCTGAGGGACGGAAAATTCTCACCGTCGTTCGGCTCAAAGGTCGGCTCAAGAAAATGTAAAGCAGGTACTCTCTAAGTACTACTTTCCAGGAATGCCCAAGCTAGTTACAGAAATCATAGCGAATTGCAGATGACGGACAAAACCACTCGCGAAGCGGATAAGAGACCCCTATCTCCGACATCAGAAGTGGGATCCCCATCGCCACAAGAACATTCTGACAGCGTGTTGCAGACAATTTTAAAGACACAAAACCTAGAGTTGCTGAAAACTGTGCAAAAAACATCGACTGCAGCCCCGCAAAATATTTCTGTGACATTGCCTATGTTTAATCCTGATGCGCCTGGGACCGATGCCGCAGCGTGGTGTAAAACCGTGGATATGATCATATCCGAGCGTCCACTGGAAGGTGGAGCACTAGTCATGGCGCTTAGCAAATCGCTGCTTTGCTGGAATGTCATGGCTGGAATTCAAATATTTGTTTTTACACCGCTATGAAGGCATCGAGCCACCGTCTGCCGTCTTGCTCAATATTCTCAACGGACGGCCGAATCAAACGAGTCCTTGTCAGTATATGGTACTGTAACTGGTAACTGGTAGTAAATATCATCAGATACCTATTTACACTGATTCCATCGAGAAAACAGATTTCCTGACTCCAGAAAGCCAAAACGAATTCCTTGCTATGCCATTCGGCTTGAAGACGCTTCGTCATTATTTCAAAGAGCGTTAGTACGAGCCTTAGGCATACTCGTATGCATGAATAGAGTATCACGGGTTTTATATTAAAGATGGCGAAATCAAGCCCAATCCTAGAAGAATAGAAGCTCTATCCCCATTAAGTCAACCAACTACTGCCACGCAGTTAAGACAATTTATAGGTTTGGCTTCATATTTCAGACAGTTTGTTCCGCGATTCTCTGAACAGATGAAACCATTGTATCAGCTAACTTCTAAGGTAAATGGGTTTGTTTGGAAGGAGAATCACGAACAAATACATAACAGGATTATTGATGTCTTGACAAGTGACCCGGTGCTGACCATATTCAACCCTGAGCTTCCGATCGAATTGGATACAGACGCCAACGTAGATGGCTACGGTGCAATGCTCCTTCACAGGATTGACGGCAAAAGTAGGGTGATCGAATATTTCAGCAAGTGTACTTAGAAGTGGCTTTAGAATCAAAATATCATTCATATGAGCTAGAGACTCTAGCTGTGTATAATGCTGTAAAACATTTGCGACATTATCTGCATGGTGGAAAGTTCGTCGTTCATACTGACTGTAATTCCTTAAAAGCGAGTCGCACCAAGCACGTGTACACCGATGATGGGCTTTCTTGCAGGCATTCGATTTTAGCGTAGAGTATAGAAAGGGAAATCAAATGGCACACATATGCCCTCTTCCCACAGAGTCCATCCGTTCGAAACGGTTGGGATTTTTGACAAATGTGAAACTCCGATTCCCACAGAGCACATCCACCACCCACCATCCAATAACAGCTGATCTGAACAGCTGTAGCTCATCATTTTAGCCCGTTGCACTCTGCACAACATTTAAAAAGAGGACAACAGCGTTATAAATTATACTTGGTAACAGACTGCAAGTGATCTATGCGAACAACCAAATCGAACTAATCGGTCTGCCGATTTTTGCCAGCCTGCAGAAAAAATATGAACCGCTTTTGCCCAATATTGTCTAACTGGTAAGAAATCAAGTTCATTATATATAAATGTTTGTTTTTTGGTTTATAATAATTATATATTTTATTTCATTTTTAATGTTCTGATCCATGTGGTGAGTACGGTATGCGTCTAGGAAAGAGTGGAGCAACACCTAATGCTGCCCCACGGATAAATCAGAAATTAATTAATTATTACAAGTAAAAACAGCATTTTTTGAATTGGCGCCTTCCTTTTCCTAAAGTTACCCGCCATTATTTTTTTAAATTTTCGTAGTGAATGTTTTAATTTTCACTGTCTAGAAGAAGAACTCAGAGTTGCACCGAAAAAACATCGCCTAACTATCGCATAAAAAAGTCCGTCAAATTTGGATGGGGAACTAACTGGGAATTTAGGACATAGGTATAGTTGATATCATGACACAATTAAATGGAAATGAGATGCATGTTGACAGAGCAAAAACTTATGAAATTATAACCGGATAGTTGTATCGCAAAATTCAAAGAAGTGGCAAGACTCGCTGCTTACCAGTAATTCCGAGAGCCTTTAGGTGGTCGGTCATTAATCATGTGAATGAGGCTCTAATGAATTTTGGATGGCAGAAGACTCTTAACAAT